ATATTTTTGGGTTAATTGGATTTATTGCGAGCAATATTCAAAGGGTACATTAGTCCAAATGAATTACGGTACCTATTATTAGTCTACCGTAATTAATCGTCAACTCGAGTGTGGACAAAAGTACAGTATGCGCTAGATAGTTAGCGTACAATTTTCATATAAAACCTATGAATAAAAGTTGTTGGAAGTGAAATACTGCACTTACCACAATACCAGTTGTGATAGATAGGGTGCGACCGCAGTACGTGTTCGGCACAATGTCTCCATACCCGATTGACATGAATGTGACCATGATGAACCACATAGAATTTAGGTAATAGTGCTCTACATCCAGTTTGCCATCATATCTGAGAAGAAAATAATTGGAGATTTGTAGTTAAGAGGGTTTTCCAGCAAAACCTTGTAAACAACTATATATGGAGCTTGCTAGAATATGGATTTTAAGGCATAAGTAGTTAGAAGATTAATAAGTGGATGATTTACAGTCCGACTGTTTTCTTGAGCATCTTTCTTTAAGCGGGCTTAGCCGATGTTTGGCCCTGCTGCCCGTCTATTCTCATGTCCTCCAATCCGCACTAATCTAAGAACTCACAACGCCCCCGAAGCAATCTCACTAATCAGTCTGACATAAGCTGCATACCTTTCACATTGCGTAAACATCCACGACATGCAGATCCAATAGGACACAGTGAACACTACCAAAACCCGCAATGGATGGTCTGCCATCATCGTTTTGATAACAAATCGAAAATCCATTGAGATACGATTTAGCGCCGCTATTGAACGAGTAGCCGCATCCTGAAGTAAAGCACATTTCGTATAAGAATCTTTTTAATTTTTCTTTTAAATTCAAAAGGTTACATACCTGGAACTGCTTGCTGTGCAGAACCATGAAACGACAGAGAAGATAAGATCGTAGAAACATGGGAACAGATAGAAGCACATCGATGGGTACGTCAACCATCTTAACGTGGCGAGTCTCTGGTGAAATGAATGGCCATCGAATGGAACCGGAGCCTGAAAAGATTGGGAAATTAGTTCGCTACACAGGCTCATTCTTACCAGATAATCCGGAATGCCAGGTGCGAATGCCCCTCTTTGGGTTTCAATCCCTGATTCTATCTAGTTTTTTAACCCT